CTAGGAGTCCCACAGCACCCCTCCCCCTGACCTGGGGCCTTTGATCTGGAAAGGCTTTAGGGAGTGGCCAGGGCTGCAGGTCTTCGACAGGCCTCCGAGAGAGGAAGGGGCGGCAGGGTTCGGGGTACCGTCAACAGTTGGCATGCCTCGGCGCGGCGCGGGGAGGAGCCGTGGGCACGGCGGCAGCTGCGTGGGCAAAGCGCGGTCCGCCTCTGCGAGGAGCCCGGCAGGGCAGCGAGCTCACACTTCTGCCTTTTGCCTGCTTGGCACGGCGCAGAATGATTTTTGCCATCAGCATTCTCCCTATCACGGAATCATTGCACAATTTAGTATGATTAATGGTTTCCATTTAGGAGGAGCCGAGAATGAAAACAGTGAGGGAGAATGGGCTCCTCAGCGGGGGGCGTTTGGCTGGAGAAGCGGGAGGGCGTGAGGGGCGGCGGTGCCTCCCGGCTCTCCTCTTCCTCCCGGGCATGCTGGGAGGCACTCTGGGTGAAGAAACACATGGCTTTGGACGGACACTTGCAGACGCAGTCTGGACGCCACAACCTCGTGGTGGCTCATCCTCGCCTCCTCCCAAACATTGCGCCGAGCGGCTACTCCCTCTTGACCTGCCGGGGAGAGTCATCCTCGGACGTTCCTAAGGGCTGGGTCCGAGGCAGAGCGGCGATGGACTGCATGGCTGAATTAACTACACCACTTCTTGGCTCTCCTGGTGGCCACGGGGATGCCACCCAGGGAGGACCCCGCCCTCGTGGGGGGGGGGCTCAGCACAGCCACCTGTGTGTCCGGAGCCCGGGGCTGGTGGGCCTGGCTCAGGTCTCATCGGCTGGCTCTCGGGAGCTCTCCTCCACTCCGCAGCATCCTTTTCTTCCTACTCCGGCAGGCGTGGCTTCTTCCGACCCCCCGGCTGCCCGGGGTGTGTGGCGAGACTGCGGTCACAGCCAGACTCGTGGGTGCTGACAGAAACCAGCCGGGAGAGCACAGCGGATTCAAGAGGGCCTTTTTGTTCTGTTTGTTTTTCTTTTTCTTTTTTTCCCCCCTAAGCAATAGCCTTTGTAACTGAAGCCAGAAAGGGAGAAAATTGGTGATCTCGGCTGGGTCTGACGGGACTCAACGCCCTTCTCGATGCATCGTGTCTCTGCAAGGAAATCTATTATTTTCCATAAACTGTCTTAAGCATCTCCTGGGCTACATTTCTGGCTGTGTTAAGAATCAAGCCATCAAGAACAGCTGTGAAAGCTATACACTTTCAGCAGCAGCAATGAGCTTTGGCAGGGAAGTGGGAGCGAAAAACCCAAGTAGGACATTTCGGTTGACAGTAATGGCATTTTCCCTTCCTTGTCCAAACGATAAAAGATTCATGCTCCTAATTGCAACACTATAGCTGCCCCATCACTTTATTCTGGGAGAGGAGGTTAGAGAAAACAGGCCTAGAGAGAGGGAGAGAAAGAGAGAGAGAGACGGATGGTAATTTCGTCACTGGCTAACAAAGACTGATTAGCGCGAGGGCTGCCTTCCACAGCAATACTTTTTAATCAGGTCTGCGGCGTCTGGGCACACAGCTTTTGTGGATTAGCTAGACTCAGCCTGCCAGCATCCGATGCACGTTTAAACGATGAAATACACGACTACAGAGAAAACAAACCAAAAAGAGTAATCAAGTCACACATTTCAATATTCGGCAACCATTGAGGGATTTAAATATTTGCTCGCTATTAAAGGCTTGCATTAGGCTCTTCCAACACCAGCTCTGGAGGACGGAAATATCAATTACGGATCAATTTTCCCCCTAAGTAAACACTAATGCAGGATAAACAGCATTAGAAGATGCAATAGTAACATTGCTGACTTCAGGACGGACTTCCTGCTGGTAACAGCAAGTCTCGGCCTGGTGATTAATTAACCTGAAGGAGGGCTGAAGGCAGTCGTGTCTGAAACACCGCCGTGAGCAGCGCCCTTTGGGGAGCCCCTGGAGAAGTCCCCGCCCAGGGCCTGCGCCGGTCTGCCTCTCAGGGGTGGTCTTCACTCTCCCCAGAATCGCGCCCACAGCTCGACCCCTCGAGGACTGGCAGGGAGTTAAATGGTACTTGGGGGTGGGTGCGAGCGGAGGCGGAGAGAGCGGCCGGCTGGGGTCCTCGCTGGAATTATTTCCCTGGTTAAGTGCGTAGGTGAGGCCCGAGCTGTATTTCCCAGCACTGACCACCAGGGGCAGGAGACATTGTTATGTTTACTTTGGAATGAAATGGAAAAATATAAAAATCAGAACAAATAGAATTTCTTGTGTAGAGAAAGAACCTGGAAGCTGGGGGCCAGATGGCTTGAAATCAGAAGAGTCCAGCTTTCAAGCCTCAGTTTTGGGGTGCCCACGTCATCCATGTGCCAGCACCCCACTGTGAGCATGTATACTGTGGGGGGTGTGGGTGCGGCAAACACCCTGGCTCCTATTGGCATCTGTGTCTGACGCCCTGGCTGTATCTCACAACGCTGAGATAAGACGGATGCGGCAAGAAGAGCGGCGGGCTTCTCCCCAGCACGCCAGGCCTCGTGGGAAGGTCCCTCACAACCTGTGCCAGCCCTGCTGAGGCTCTGGCCACTGCCGATGTCACTCCCCAGCGGGGAGAGCACGCTCTGTCCCCGCAGGCCCCTGAGAAGGGCGGCACTGACCCACTGCCGATGTCACTCCCCAGCGGGGAGAGCACGCTCTGTCCCCGCAGGCCCCTGAGAAGGACGGCACTGACCCACTGCCCTCAGGACCTGTGGCTGATTTCTTCAAGGCCACCCTGAAAGCTACCGAGGTTGAGGACGGACTCACACAAACGTCAAGGTTCGAGACACAGTTGGTGGCTGAGGCCGGAGGCTCAGCAGCCAGGTGCTTTCATCGGCACTGCTTGCTTAGTGTCTCTTACGTCCCACCACTGACTTAACATGCTGGGCCACAGGCCCCTGGGACGGTGGCCAAGAGCCCCCTGTCCTCCTCCCGGGCAGGGGTCAGGACAGCCAAGTGCTTCCTTCGGAAATACTCCCACACTGCACACGTGTGGCTGTGGGTACGGACGTCACTCGGAAGGAAGCTGGCTGCGTTATTCAGGGCCAGGGGCTGGGTGAGTCCCGGCAAACGGTGTGCGTGTCCGTCCTGCAGAACTTGGTACTAACAAAGCGCCTCCCCTGCCCAGGGCCGTCCCCCCGCGCCCGGCGACTGCAGGCTCCAAGGCTCCGGGTGGAAGAGTCAAAGGGGCCGTTCCGCACGGAGTCAGGCCGTAGCGGGGTGAGAACGACATTCCAAGTGGACGGGGGACAGTGAGAGATTGCGCCAAGGAACACCGCGTGGCCCCTCGGGTTCCAGGTGACGTGTGTGGGGAGCACCAGCAGCCCCAACACTGGAGAGCTCCCGGGGGAACACGGACCGTTCCCCCCAGACCGAACCGAGTTCCGGGCCACTTATCAAGCTCCCGCCAGCAGGGCTGCCCCTGGCGCCCTCTCGGTCCCACAGCCGGTGGACCTACTCCCCGGCAGAGGCGCAGCGGCCTCACCTCGCGGCTGCCTCCGTCCAGGAGCTCCCTGGGGCTCGGCTCTGTGCTTAGCTGGAAGCGGCCTCATGTCACAGAGCAGGGGAGGGGCGGACACGCGGCCAGCGACAAGCACACTAACGAATGGGGAGGAGGAAGGGGTCGTTCAACGGTCTAAGTGTCCACCGGCCTGAGTTCTCGCAGCCAGTCCGGGTGGGCAGGGCTGCGTCTCTGAGGTCACACCCCCCTCCTCCCAGCAGACTCCTCACAACCATGACGCGTCCGCGCTGCACCAGGCTCTGCCCTCTGGTAGAGGCTGGGACAGGCTCTTGGCACCAGACTCCTCGCCTGGGCTTTGTGAACACCCGTGAGCCCCCAACCCCCACACCTCCTTGCCCTCCCTTTATTTTTCCCACGCAGGCCAGAAGGCGGGGCTGCCTGCCCTCGGTACCTGGGACTCATGCGCCCCGTCCACCAAACCACCCTGAGATCCGCAGGGCTCCCGGCTCCTGCGAGGCTGTCTGGACTCCCCAGCCTTTCCTGACGCCCCTTCTCCTGCATGAGGCTGGCTGGGCCCCAGGCCGAGGACCATTTCCTGTTCCCCACGCGGGTGGAACGGGGACCGCAGCCTCCAGGGACTGTGTCACACTCGGGGTACACAGCAGGCGCAGTGACTGCAGGACGGAGGGACTGATGCTACCGAGACAGGCAAGAGACAGGCCCGGACGGACGAGGCTGGCGTGAGATGGCGCTTGGCTTTTCTAGAGCTTACCTTCGCTTCCACCTCTGGGCTCCCCTCTCCCTGCCCAAGAGAAAGGGGACCTGGAGCCCAGCTGGAGGGGCGCTGGGCTGCTCCCGGGCTCTGCGGTGTCGGCGCAGCCAGCAGAGGTCTAGCCGCTGTCGCTGGGGCCTGCAAGGCAAGGGGGAGGACAGGCCGTCCGCGTGGGCCCTGGCCTGAGTCCGCGGCCTAAACGGGAGTGAGAAGGTCTTCCGTGGTGGCCGAGCGTCCTGGCGCAGCAGGTCCTCCGGGGGGGAGAGAACTTGGGATGAAGACGGCGGATGGGTTGTTAAGACACAGAATCCCCGAGTAAGAGACAGGTGGAGCAGCCAACACAGGGGTCGGTGGGGTGGAGGGTGAAGGGGTGGTCCACGCGCCCCCTGGCATCCCGCGCCTGCACAAACCGCTGAGTCCGCGCGCCCAAGCACCTGGCCCGCCTGGCCGCTGGGGGAGAGAACGGGGCAGGAAGGGTGAGCGGAGGAGGAGAGAAAGCAGAGCGGAGGACCCCGGCGGCAGCACTGCCCAGCGTCTGCGCCGAGCTCGGGGCCGGCAGGTCCTGGGGAGGAAGCTGGACCAGGGCCCGTCTCGTCTCCCACACGGAGGCGTCCGCAAAAAATCCATAATGAGATTAAAGGATCACTTTGTAACATTAATTTTTTTATTAAGAAGACAGATATTTTATAGTACTTCTTTTTTTCTTTTTTTTTTTTTCTTTTGTAAAAATGGTATACATGAACCAATACAAAATGCGAATGGGAACATGGACATGGATTCTCACACCGTAACATTGTTCATGTACACCTAAGAACGCAACTGGCCTAGAGGGGACGGGACGTCGGCGTGACCAAAGAACAAGCTTATTTGGCATCAATTGTACATCCTTCATTATTTTATACTCCTTTAAAAACACAAAAAAAACAAGTTTGTTCTTTCTTCACTCTAAAAAAAGTGATCGACCTGTACAAAGTAATACTCAACAATACATTTCAAACAGTGCACTGTATACTTAAGAAAAAATACATAAACCAATATACAACTAAAACCCATAATTTCCTGTTTTCGCCGTTTTATTTTATTGTTTTTTCTCCAATGCGTGGGGCCTACACTTAGCAATCTACCTGAGACGGAAAACACCAGTCGAAACACATGGACCTGAGACATGTCAACATCGTAAGCCATAGAGTTACATCAGGGACACCGCACTACTGTACACGTTTCAAGATGGGAGGGTGGAGGGCCCAGCGATGAGATGGCAATTTGGGGGGTGATGGCAGGTTTCGCTTGTTTCGTCTCCTGAAAAGAACCACCAAAGAAAACCTGTCGACAACATGCTGGATGACTCTCACCTTGTGATATGGTCACACTATGGTCAGAATGGGTGCTAAGGGCTCGGGACAGAGCTGCACATTATAAAATTCAGTGAAAAAGGGATGTTCGTTGTGGCTTTTTGTCTTGGTTAAGTGCCTCGGGAGGGGAGAGGGGAAATCAACGCTGCTCGTACGGATTCTCTTACGGACCAGTCCGTTCCCAAAAGGCCCCATATTGCAAGTGGTTCTATCAAAGGTTAAAATCAAGACAAGAAAAATAAACACGCTTTCAAATAACAAAGAGTTGACACTTTTTTTTCCCCCTTAAATAAATCAGCGTAAGTTTTCCACAGAATGTAACAATAGTAAAAATGCACCTTGCAAAATCCGAAGTCACTCACTGAAAATGTGATATAATATATATTTATATATATATATAGATCTATCTTTTCTGATGCCGTCTTTCCACAGGGACTGTCTTCCGGGATCTGGGGCCTCGCCGAAACTCCCGGTAAGAGTTTCGTGTTTGTCCTTCGACGTACGTTTCTTTAAAGAAAAATGTCAATAGCGACTGGACTTCGGCACCTTTTCCCAAGGCTCCCGTCCAAGAGACGTTCAAGGTAACTGATTTCAGCAGCCACGCGCGGTGGCGGCCGTCATGCGAGGATCAGTAATTTTTTGGCAGATGGTTCTTAAGGCTGAGGAAGGAGGCCAAGGCTAGTGCATGAAGGTAAGAAGATGAAAACACTCACATCTGAGTTCTGACTAAGGGACTGAAAACCCTTACATGCTGCTTCTCCTCCTCTGCTCTGACCTTGGGGAACTTGATCCCCAGCAGGCCAGTGTGAGGACAATGCGGGCCCTTCTCTTGCACCTCCTGCCTTTGCCAAGTCTGAAGGAAGGGACTTCCGCGCGGACCCGAGTTGGAAACCCAGAGTGACGAATATCTGTAATATACAGTACGTGCCGGCCACATCCTCCTGTCTCCCTAACTGAGCACAGAGGGGCTCCCTGTCCCGCTCAGTCCTCCCCCCACTGCACGGACTTGCTTTTTCCTACAGATCAGAGAGCAGTAAGGCCAATTGGGAAAGGTGGGTGGACTCGTTTGGAACAGAAATAACCAGAGCAGAACGATCTCCCCTCCCTACATCCCCTCCGGTGGCAACTCAATTTGTCCACTTATGGAGAAGGAACAGCTCTCACTGTCAGGTCTGTTCAGGGCACAGGAAAAGGAGGAGCCCCAGACCTTGCTGGACAGTGTGGGGTCCCTCTACTGAGCCGTCTACAGACACAGAAGGACAGACAGACCCAGCCTCGCGTGACACACCTCACCTGCAGATCACCCTGTACAGTAATGTAGTTCCACAGCAAACAGAACATTTCTGAATCACAGTCTACGTTCTAGTCTTCACTGCTCTACGTACTGGGAACATGGGCAGCAGCAAAGAGTTCTCATTGTTTGTTCACCCAAATCTTTACAACAACAGAGAAGAATGCGCTATGGACACACTAAATTCTGAACTATGAAGTCTAAGCTGTGCTGGTTCTCCTTGTATGCAACTGAATTTTGAACAGAAAGCAGTTACTTCAACAACAAACAAAAAAGTCAAAACAAGAGCGAAATAAGGGGAAAACGAGGCTAAGGAATCCCAGCAGGCAAATTCCAAAATGGGAGATTTTGGAAAAATAAAATTAACTTTAAAAATCGGGGGGAAAAAGTAAATGCGCACAAAAAAGAAAAAAAAACAACAAAAGGAACGCAACGGACAAACGAAAAACAAGGCACAGAATTTTCTGCAATCTACCCAAACTAAAGCCAAGCATCCAAGTTTGACTTGGTGGGAAGAAATAAAAACCCCCAAACAAACAAACAAACAAACGAAAGCAGAGGTGTCAAACAGCAGTGTACTTTTCAAAGAACATTTTGTGTTTACACAGCAAACCCCAAGCCATCTCGCACTTTCCACCCACTCGTAAAAAACACACGAGCTTCTCGCGAGTTCCAACATCACTGTCTCTTTATCATCTAAAAGGGCCAGCTGGACACCTCATGGGAACAAAAGGCTGATCTAGATGAAGTACTCTTTCTTTTCTTCGGAGTTGCTCTGTCCGCCTTCTGCATTGATTATAGCGGTGTCTGCGTCTGCCGCGTCGTCGGCTCCTTTGGCTTCATGAGTGAAGTATGTACCTGGAAGACGAAGGGGTAAAAGCAGCGTGACTGTCTGATGGCCTGTGCGTGAGGTGTACAGAGATGGCGACTTGCTTTGTGGCCATCATCAGCCGAAGTGGTGTGCAGGCAGCAGAGGGGAAAAAACGATCGGAAGAAGAGAGCGAGGTGGGTGAGACAAATGGGGATCCGGGGCTCCAAAGGCACCACTCCAACTGAACCGCTGCGATATAATTCAGCAAATGAGACATTAGCGCGGTGATTATGACCAGGGGATGTCAGCAGAGGGAGACGTGAGTGGGAGCTAAAAATGCAGAAAGCTGGGGAGCTGCTGACTGACACGCACAGTCAACACCCAGGCCCCATGAGCAGATGTGAGCACGGACATGAGAGAGACCAAAGCAAGAGAGAGCAATTAGCCAATGAATGAATTAGGGCCCTGATAGGTTGGTTCTACTGTCATCTCCAATCGTCTACCGAGACCCTTGTCTCCTGTCTCCATAGCATGACTCCCATCGGCAAGACTGTGCTCAAACTTGCACAGGTATGTTTGGTTTTCTTCTCCTTCCGTTTCAGGATGGGGCTCCAGCTGGGGAGCTCGTCTGTACTATGACAGCTGTAGCCAAGGCTTGGGTCTGCCTTCAGCAGCAAGCCAATCTCTCACAGTGCACCTCTAGCCGGACCCAGATTCATGGATTTGCTAATTGGCACAACCACTTTGTAATGACAACAGACAGAACAGTACGAAGCTGGTGACACGCTCGTCACCAAGTCCCCACAGTTGGCATGAAGAAAGGAGGGTATCTAGGTAGAGCTTACACCGCTGTATCGGGGTGTCACCAAGTAACCCTCCGCCCACTGGGCAGCGCACCCGTGAAGACTCTTAAGTAAGAAAAGGCCGATCCACGTGTTTCCAGAGGGACAGGTCAGAGCAGCCAGCGGCCCCCGTGCCCCTCCTTCCTCGGGAGAGTGAGGCTCCGTCCTCTCCCTGGCCGGACCTCCTGGCCAGGCTGCACCCAGAGAGGCGCGAGTTCTCGGCCCGTCTGCCCCCTGGGTGGCGGCAGAGGGTGAAGTATGCACGGAGGTCCCAGCTGGCTTTACGCGTGAGACTAGCACTTCGGTCCTGAACGGTTGTCAGGAACCTAGACTCCCGCTGCTGAACTGAAGGGGTCGTCCCCAAACCCACGTTCTACAAGCAAGCAATGGAGTTCGTACTGTCGGAAGTCCTGCAAGCTCATTACACAGCACTTAAGAAAAACCACCAAGAGAGACGGGCCGACAGAGAAGAGGAAGAATAAATTACCCAGAGGGAAGAGGACCAGAGCAGCAAGGGGCAGGAGGGAAGCGTTGGCAAAGATGATCGCCCGTCCAGACTGCGCAGCCGGTAAGTATGTGATTAACGGCCATTTAAATCACTTGCACTGATCATTTTTAAAATACGTCTTTATGTGGCTTTGTAGGCACATCCAACCGAGGAAGGGTTCCAGCCACTGTGACCAGCCCGCCTGGGGTCTGGGCCCAGGGCAGGGCTGTCCACCTGCTCCCAGAAAGCAGCAGGCTACGGGGTTCTCGTTCCCTGCTTGCGGAGGGCGTGTGCCACCTCACACACCGGCCCCACCGTGCTCTTCACTCCGTCACCAGCGGTGGGTCATAGAGTAACGATCTACGGAGCTTTACATTCCGAGAAAACCCAACTCAAGGCGTGCTCGCCACTCATCCACTCTCAGTCCTCATCAGCAGCTGCTGAAATTCCGTTGTCTTCTTCCTCTCCCTGTCTCAGGAATCAGCGAGGCTAGGCGGCCACACAACCCCCACTGCCGGCCAAGAACCTTGCAAAGGCCCGGAGAGCGGGGCCGTGGCACACGCGGTCCCCAGCCTGCCAAAGCACCTTGCTTACCTTTATGTCTGGCAAAGTAGCGCCCCAGAATGATGAGCAAGCACAGCATGGCGAACACCACCACGGCCACGACGCCGCCGATCACGGCATGGTCCACGGCCCGGATGGAGCCCTCTTCCCCTGCTCGGGAATCTGTGGGAATCAGAAGAGGAAGAGGGATGTACAGCTCATCACGAGACACCAGAAGCCCTGGGGACAGGCCTCCAGGGCCAGAGGGCGCTTTCTTGTTAATGGAGGAGCCAGAGAACCATCTAGAGATGGACCGAGTTACACTGAGGCCACAGACTGACTGTCCAGTGCTGCATCGACAAGTCCCCCCCCAGGCAATCCCATGATCAGCAGTGTAGCAGCCGATGCATGTGGGAAGATGCAGGGAGCGGGGGGAAGGAAGAGCCCGTCCCGTCCTGACTGGTCTTAGCGCTCTCCCTGCCTGCGTCCCGGAGCAGGGGCCGACCTAGCTGAAGGCTGCGCTCGGATGGGGATGGCACCTTCCGCAGTGACGGGAGCTGTGGAGGGAGGCCAGGCGCCCAGTGACTGATGTTCTATAGACGCCAGTGGCTTTTTCTCTGCTAGGCGTGGGCATAGGGAAAGTGAGGATTTCCACGGCCACAGCTGCTTAGAGATAAAACGAGGATTATGAGACTCGAGACAAGTGGCATGCTTGCTACGTGTAGGATGTATGAGGGAGTAAGCTTCAGTCTAACACCGAAAAACCTATCTCAAAAACGACAGCAAGGAATAATTGTCCACTGCCACAGACGGCTTTTATTTTATTTATTTAGCACTTCACAGTGCAATTAATTTTCCGTTATAAGCACCCCTCCCTCAAGATGTCTTCTTCCAGACGAGGAGCGACATGTGTGGCTGGGGAGCGACTCGGACCCGAATGAGCTATGGCGATGCAGAATGGGCGCGTGGCGGGGTAAACAATTTTAATTTAGGACTGTGGCTACATCACCCCGTGCTGAAATCCTAATGGCACCCAGGATTTATAATGTAGTAAAAAACAATTATTCTCCCGTTGATTAATACATTAACATTTTGGAGTGGAAGCTAAACCATTGTCTCTTTTTCTCCGAGTCAAGTACGACACCACCATTACAATGATTTACTGGCTGCACCTTACAATTTAAGCACAGCAGCAACAGAAACGGTAAAAATCTTTTAACTTTACATGATTTGTGAAGTCATATGTGAAGGATTTACCATTTAAATCTTTCAGTACAAGGAGCACATGGCCTATAAATCTGTCCCCCCGCAGTGGCTGGACGCCTCAGAGCCATGCGTTTCGGCAGGAAGACCGAGGGTGCAGATTCAAGTCAATTTTTAAGAAAGATTTATCTCTGTCTCTCTGCAAAGAACAGAGCAAATCTCTGAAGCCTCCACCTCTAATAATATTTGAAGTTTATCGATCAAGGGTACAGATCCGTGACAGCTAAAGGTAATGGTGCTCCTCTGAGCCGAGGCCTACACGGCGCTTTCAGCAGGAGGCATGATTTACACTTTCCATCGATATTTCCAATTCTGCGCTGAGATGGAGTACTGACGAAGGCGGGGACATAACTCGTGACTCGGGGTCCATGGAAAGCGCTTTAATTAAAAGAGTTTAAATTAAAAAGTGAAGTATTTAAAGTGTTTCATTAAGTTGCCTTCAGAAGGACGACAAAGCCCCCAAATCCAAACGCAAGCAGAAATGCCAGGTCGGAGGCAGCGGGTCGCCCAGGCCGAGGGAGGGCGGAGTTTAGCTGGAGAATGGGGATGGAGTGGCAGGCCCTGCGGCCAATCAGCGCTCCGGGAGGAGCGAGCCCTCAGCACCCAGTCTGAGGAGCTGGCCTGCACCATGGGGCGAGCAATCCCCTCTCCACGCCCAGCGCCTGGGACATCATTTCAACAGGGGGACTCAGCCACGGGAACTTGTTCTCCGGGAGACAAGAGAGCTCTGAGGGGGAGCACTCCCCTTGGGGTCTGGATGCAGGGTCTCTGCAGGGGACAGTGTGTTACACACTAGAGGCTCCTACCCCAACTGCACACATTCAAACTCGCTCACAAGGAGACAAAAGCAACAGAAAAGCCAGCCAGTGTGACCCCCCCTTGGGAGCTGTGAAAATCAGGGATCACGTGGGAAGGAGAAGGAACTCACCCCGATTCCATGAACCTCGGCCCGTGGGAGCATAAGGGCCTTCCAGTCACCTGTGGCTTAGAACTGGGTGGGACAGCGGAGAGATGGCGGCCACGGAGGGGGGATGCCAGGGTCGGAGGCCAGAGGGGCGAGGAGGAGGCCGGTCTGTCCCGGGAAGACAGAGCTGAGACTGTGCCACGCGGGCCTGACCCATTTGGAGAAAGGCGCCCCCTCCAGGCCCAGGGGCAGTCTAGAAGCCCGGGGCGGGGGCGGCTGTGATAAGGAAGAACACCACCCCCAGAGGTGGTGCCTGGGGGTTTAAATCATCTGACTTGCTCCCCATGAGCTTCAGAGCTCCAGGTGGGCAGGGCTGCTCCTCCCCCTGCGCTGTGCCCACACTGACCACCTGGGCTCCACTTTCCACCCCAGGTACGGACATTCCAGACACTTATTTATAAGGGGAGCTCTCCTGCTACCTTCTGGTACCCACGTCGACCAGAACTACCATCATCGGACCACTCAGACATCCGTCACTGCAGACGGACACAGAGGAGGGGTGTGTCATGTACAGGGGGCATCAGGCTGTGGGCTCCGCAGCCTCGTCCCACTCCCACTCCACCCTGGGGTCTCCTGCAGGAGCACCCATCACGGCTGGGCGCCCCCAGGAAGAGCAGTGCTGTTTCCAGACTCATCTACTCTTGTTTCCAGGTGTGCAACTGGGAGAATTTTTCATGGTGCTATCGATTCACCCAAGGTGGTGGAGAACAGGGCAAAGGCTGGTCACCTATTACTAGGTAAGAAAGAAGTGCCTGTACCTGTGGGCTGGTATACCTGTGTGTGGGCTGGTGCACCCGTGGCTAGTGCTCCTGTGTGTGGGCTGGTGCACCTGTATGTGGGTTGGTGCACCCGTGGCTAGTGCTCCTGTGTGTGGGCTGGTGCACCCGTGGCTAGTGTACCTGTGTGTGGGCTGGTGCACCTGTATGTGGGTTGGTGCACCCGTGGCTAGTGTTCCTGTGTGTGGGCTGGTGCACCTGTATGTGAACTGGTGTACCTGTGTTTGGGCTGATGCACCTGTATGTGGGCTGGTGCACCTGTATGTGGGCTGGTGTATCTGTGTGTGGGCTGGTGCACTTGTCTGTGGACTGGTGTACCTGTGTGTGGGCTGGTGCACCCATGGCTAGTGTACCTGTGTGTGGGCTGGTGCACCTGCATGTGGACTGGTGTACCTGTGTGTGGGCTGGTGCACCTGTGGACTAGTGCACCTGCGTGTGGGCTGGTGCACCCGTGGCTAGTGCACCTGTGTGTGGGCTGGTGCACCTGTGTGTGGGTTGGTGCACCTGTGAGCTGGTGTACCTGTGTGTGGGCTGGTGCCACCTGTGAGCTGGTGTACCTGTGTGTGGGCTGGTGCACCTGTGGGCTGGTGTACCTGTGTGTGGGCTGGTGCACCTGTGGGCTGGTGCACCTGTGTGTGGGCTGGTGCACCTGTGGCTAGTGTACCTGTGTGTAGGCTGGTGCACCTGTCTCTGGGCTGGAACCTCAATCATGTATGAACAGTAGCACAAGCTTCACTCAGAGGCTCTGGGCTAGTGGAGCAGGATGAAGGCTGGAGCCTGAGGAGATGTTGACCCCCAAAGAGATGGCTCTGACCGAGCCCATTGGCTGCTTGTCCTTCCTGGGCCACCCACAAAGCAAGAGCTCTGGCCAGTCTTCAAGAAATCATGTCTGAGTGAGAAACGTGGGCCCGTCTATGACTCCCACCACCACGCAAAGCTCCTGCTGCTCTGGGGGTCAGACCCTGCACTCAGGCCCCAGGAACTCCCTGCCCTCCTGGGGATGTCCTCCCGATTAATGGCTCCTTTTCTCAACAAGGCAGATAAGAAACCCAAAGAGGCAGACTGCCCAGCTGCCCAGCTGCCCCACAGGAACAGACACGCTCTATCCAGGGCCTGCTCCCCAGGCGCGTGGGCCTCTCGCCGTGGAGGAAAGGCCCTCCCCTCTCCAGCAGACCGCACTCTCGCGTGGTCACAGGGAGGGCGCTCCTGTTGCTGGGACTAAGCTTCGCCTGTCCTCCTGAAGCCACATCGTGCTGGTGCTTGGTGTGTGCTTATGGCACAAAGGCTGTCCCCGCCTCCAGGAGCCCCGTGTGCGCGGGGACCCCGTTTGCAGCAGGAAGAATCCACCCCGTCACTTCCTGTGTGACCTCAGCAGTGGGCCTAGCCCCCGAGCCTGCGTGTCTGCACAGTCAACGCTGGCAGGGCTCAGGACAACGCCGCGAGGCAGCCCTGCCTGCCTGGTCCCGCTCTGCGACACCTGTCTCTTTAGGACGGACCAACCGGGACTGTTCAGTATTTGGGAGTTAGTGTTCCTTCTGGCAGGAAAGCCAGAGCCACGTGGCTCCAGCTGAGCGCGGACAGGCCCTCACGGGGCGTTCCGGGCACAGCTGCACCCCCTGGTGTGCGTCAGCCTCCCAGAAGCCACAAGGTCATTTCAAGGACACTCCCAGGAGGGAGGCCCAGGCAGCTCAGGTCTGCTCCATGCAGGCCTCCTGGGCACCCGAGGGGGCTCTGAGGGCAGCAGCTCCCCAGGACCAGCTCTGGTGGGAAGTCAGCCTCCTTCCCCTCCAGGGGACCCCCTTTCTCTGTGGGCAGAGTCGTCCTCCACACAGGGCTCTGGGCGCGCTGCCTGCATGAAAGCAGGCCTCTGCCTGACCCCGGTGCGGACCGCCAGGCAGTGTCCCCGCCGTGCATCTGTGACAACCCCCAAGGCTCTGCTCCCGAAGGCCCCCCGGGGCGGACGGCCAGAGGCAGGGACTAGCTCCCGGGGAACGGGACTGAGTGGAGGCCCGACTACGCCGACACCTCGGGCCAGGCCGCGGTCTTTCGCCAAAGGGCCAGGAAGCGGGCCCATGAAGGCACAGTGACTAAGGGACAGTGACTAAGGGACAGGGCTGCAGTCGGCACCCCTGCTGCTCCCCTCCTCTCGGGACACCCCGTGTGAGCTGCGAGGCACCCTT